TGCACTGTGGGAGGAGCGTCAGCAACAGTATCAGCAGTGCTTGGACTTTCACCTCTTCTGCCGAGACCGTGAGCAAGTGGACAGTTGGATGAGCAGGCAAGAGGTAACAGAGGGTCCACCCAGACTTCAGAGACCTTTTCTCCCATTTCTCCTTTACCTTCCACACCAGTCTTTGAGCTGAAGATTATTCTGGGAGTTGGAAAATGATTCATGACATAAAAGATAACCTTCTGTGTAAGGCATCTATAGTTGTCTCATGGGCAAAGGCAAGAAAGATACTATAATACATAGAAACAGGAATATAGCACAACCAAACATGAGGCAAATAGATGTCAAACTGATAAAGAGTCAGAAAGAAAAAGCATGTGACCAGTCAGGCAGTGTTAATCAGAGAAGGTTTCTTGGAGGAGCTTGTGTTTCTCTTGAGGCAGTTTTGAGAACTCAACATATTACCTAGATTGATTGAGTTTTGTGGAAATGGACCTGTAGAAAGGAAGGAAAATCTTGTTCAAATACTGGGAAGTAGGTCTAAAGCTTATGTTGATTGAGGTTAATTTCTAGATAGTATTTAAATTTATGCTAATTCTTACCTAGCTGTAAAACTCTTGCCTACATCCTTTAGTCCCTGTCTCCATGGTACTCCTAAAGAAATATTTCTCACCAGCGAAGACCTGTGGGATGTCTCCTTGTCTCTTCCATAGGCCTTCCTGGAAAATGAAGACTTGGGAAACTCAGTGGGGAGCGTAGAAGCCCTGCTTCAGAAGCATGATGACTTCGAGGAAGCCTTTACTGCCCAGGAAGAGAAGATCATAGTGAGAAATGGGACTTTCTCATGGGATGGGGCATGGGCTTCCTGCTTGTATGTATTACTGCATTCAATATATCACAGTTTGAGGATTATTCTCCATAAAGTTTCATCCATGTTTTGTTGCCAGGGATATTTTTTTGTGGATTTTAAAGGTACTTTGACCTAGTTTTACAAACACAAATCTGTTTGAAAGACAAAATTTAATCGTACTGTTTTTTAGTAAAATAAGACAGAAAAACAATAGTACCATTTTTATCAAGATATTTATTTTTCTCCAAAGCATATTTGAAAGATTTTCAAGATGTGGAGGCATTAGTTCTTTTGAGAAGGTCCAGCACATGTTTTATTTTTTCCAAAATATAAATAAAATTATGTATTTTTTGGACTAGAAATCTTGCCTATATTTTGCACTACGAATCACTGCTACCAAGGCAACAATACACAATTATCAACTACTGTAACTGTCCTACTAAACAGTTTTGAAATTCAATTTTACTGTTGTTTTTATAATCTTATATTTTTGTTCTTTAAAATTTAATAAATAAAATTGATAGTTTCTTATTAATAGATAATTATTAGGTAAACACTTGAAATATGTTTTTTGTTTTTCCTTTCTAGTAATTTCTTAATATATTTTTCTCTCTAAGTATCTTACTGGTATATATTCTTTTCTCTTTGGTAGGCATTCCTTTATAATGTTTTCATCTATGCATTTCTCATTTAATGCTATTAACAGAGTTTTTTTTTTTTTTCTGTCAACTTGAGTTATATCAAAGAAATTTGAAGAAGACTCCACGGATCTTTTTCTGTCTCCTGGGATATGACACTGACTTTAAATAGTCACATTCATGCTTATGCACATACACACACACCATTGGCAGTAATAAAAATGGAAAATTCCACATCTTTCCTTTTCATCGGTGTGGAGCACAGTATGGTCCCTCATCGAACTATATGCTTATTCTGTTTGTTCCCACTGGTAAATGCTTACCGTGTGATTATTGTATAGTACTACTTGTTTTAGATTATCTCTCTAAGTCAATCCATTTCTGAGCTGTCACAATTTGGGAAATTTGTGAACAAATGTGAGTAAAAATACATCTTTATATTTTCTGACTCATCTTTCTCAGAGATGTAGATGCAGCCCTGTCTATCTATCTATCTATCTATCTATCTATCTATCTATCTATCTGATACTTAATTGAGAAAAAAGTAGACCGACAACTGGACCTGAGTGTCATTGATACGGCTTCCTCTTAAAAGATTTGAGTAGATAAAATATTCAACTTATAGTGACATGAAAATGATTTGATAAATACTGTGGTACAATGGAGATCAGTAACATGTATAAGGCATATATTTTCAAATGCAGTTGATAAGGAAATCATAACTGGGATTTGAATATTTGAGCCTGAAAATTGTCTTCTTCCTATATTTCTATGTTTTTCTTGAACTGTGACACTTACTCAGCTGTCACTAAAGGAATACTATTCTAATTTTTATTTTCTTTAGACCTTAGATGAGACAGCCACCAGACTGATTGAGCATGATCATTATGATTCAGAGAACATTGCTACTATCCGTGATGGGGTACGTCCAGAGGCCAGAGCCTCCACCTGCCTGCTGTGCACTGGCATCAGGGATTGTTGGGAGCATAGGTCAGGGTGGGCGGTGAGTCTCATGCATCCCTGTCTGGCTCTGCTGACAGTGAGTTTTCTCATGGCTTTGCAGCTTTTGGCTCGGAGAGATGCCCTGCGTGAAAGAGCTCATACTAGACGGAAACTGCTGACAGAGTCCCTGTTCTTGCAACGTCTGTACCAGGACTCAGACTACCTAAAAAATTGGATAAATAAGAAAAAAAAGTTGGCAGATGACGAAGATTACAAGGTAAGCATAGTTCCAGGTCATGAGAATACTTGTGAAAAAGGTCTTCATTTCCTACTGATGAGATAGTATCTGACACCCAAATCCTTGGAGGATTTTAGTTTGACTCATGCTTTAGTCCACAGCCAGCTGGCTCCAGGCAGAAATTGCAGTGTGGAAGTTGTGGCAGAAAGAAGCTGCTCCACCCATTCTGTGATACCAGGCAGCACATGTTTGCATTCTCTCTAGTACTTAATTTCCAGAGAATGGACAGTTTGTGTACTAAGAGGCAAACAAAATATTTTATATCTCTCATGATAGCTATGATTGATTATTAGTGCCAGCATGGGTTAGTGCTTGTATATTCAATCTGATGCTTAGGCCGTGTCCAGATGTGGTAGCAATAAATTCTGGATTAATTTGCCATTCTTCCACATATGTAGAACGGATTAGTCATATGAGTTTCCCAAGCATTTGGCAACGGTTTTACTCCCCTGTATCCTCTTCTGAATACAATTAGATTTATAGTGAAAATAGTATTTTGTCCTCAAAACCTTTGTCTCTCATTCTTCACTTCATTATTTTTGTTTATTTGTCATCTAGGATATACAGAACTTGAAAAGTCGGGTTCAAAAGCAGGAAGACTTTGAAAAGGAATTGGCAGCTAATGAGATCATACTTACGGACCTCAAAAAAACTGGCCAGGAGATGGTGGATTACGGCCACTATGCTTCTGAGGATGCGACAGCCCGTGTCAATGAGGTTGTAGGTCTCTGGGAGGAGCTGCTCGCGGCGACAGCACAAAAAGGTTAGATTCAGAAAATCTGATGATGAACTAACTCCCAATTTCCAAGCCTACTGCCTTCCCTTTACCATTGTCAATTTACCCAAGGACCCATGTAAGAAGCGATACCACCATTTGCTTTTCTATGTCTTTCTTCTGTTGGTCAGTGGATTATATCCAACTTAAATTGATCACATAATATAGCAACAAATCTTTTCTTCATCTAGAGATTAGTTTTTGTTTTCTTCACTATGCTCCTCTTTTCTGCTTCTCTTGAATAAATATCCATGAATCGTGAAGTACATACTATTAAGTAGATTTTACATACACTGATTCTATAAACTAGACCTAGTATGACTAGGTAATAAATATAGATACTAAAATCGGACATCAAGAAATTAGACATGAAAATATTATTTTGTTACATATGATGTACCATGGTATTTTATTCTTCCTGTCCTCTTGCTTCATATATATATATATATTGTTGTTGTTGTTGTTGTTGTTGTTGTTATTTTGTACTGGCTATTGATCCCAGGGCAATTCAGACTGAGCTATACTTTCAGCCATTTTTTAAACTTCTTACTTTGAGACATAATATCATCAAGCAGCTGAACTGCATACGGTTGGCACAAACTTGAACTCTTCCTGCCTCAGCCTCCCAGAACATAGGAATTACAAGCCAATACCATGTGTATCTAGCATTATCTTCTTAAAGACTGATCACTTATTGTTTTTTTCACTTATATAAAAGTTTTCATGTTATGCCATAAACTCTTAAAATTTACATATGCATGCTTGAATAATCCTACTTATATTTTACTTTTTTATTTTTTTAATCTTTATTCACTTATTTGGCACAGGGCCTCACTACAGTGTGGACTCATAGCGATTCTCCTGTCTCTGCCTACCCAGCACTGGGATTACAGGCACGCATCATCACATCTGGTCTTACCAGAGATCAAACCCATGTCCTTGCACTTGTTAGGCAGGCACTTATACCACGGAGCTATCTCCCAACCCTTATATTTTACTTTTAACTTTGAAAAATTAATGAATTATTATAAATTAAGAGTAATAATTGTTTTTCTCTGCCAACACAAAACTTGTTAGGAATATCATGTGTAGACACAACACAGTTCTGGTTACAGAAGAGACACATCATCTTGACAACTTTGGATGCTAACATAATTTTTGTGTTCTTTGGGAGGAGGTTGAATTCAACAGCATCATGACAATGTCACTGATATTCCTCACCATTGGGAGATGACTTAATTGCTTTCGGAAATAAAGCAAATAATTGCTAATAGGACATAGAATAAAGAATTTATCCCCACATAGTATAAATAATCAATACCTTTCATGGAAAAGAAACTTCTTGGCCATGGTTGGTGATGAACAGGCACTGAGAGGAAGGAGCATTGAGCTCACAATAGTTTCAAATTTCAAATTGAATCAACCCAACATTTTATACTTTACCTGGAAACTATGACATTTGGATCTGAATTCTTTGCAAAGAAAAGTCTGAGTAGGGAGTAAGAACTGACATACAAGAATTCCTAGCATGGCTAAAATGACGCACAGTAAAACTATATTTCACCAGAAGCTACAGTTTATTGATTTTCATTGTCTTGAGAATATTATAATATCTAAATTCAAATACCATCAAACTTTTCCAAATTTGAGATGACTTCTCATGTGTGATGATAAGGAGACAGTTAACCTATTTTTTCTTTAAAATGCTAGAAGAGTCTATTGCCCCTTCATCAGCTGAGGGAAGGTCTCTCTATCTCACACCTCATGTGCTTTTCCAGGGACCCAGTTGCACGAAGCCAATCAGCAGCTACGATTTGAAAATACTGCAGAAGACCTGGAGCGCTGGTTGGATGAGGTGCAGAGTCAGGTCACCTCTGAGGACTATGGGAGAGGCCTGGCTGATGTGCAGAATCTGCTCAGGAAGCACAGCCTGTTGGAGTCGGCTGTGAACACTCGCCAGGTGCGTTGGTAACTTTGAGCCACTGTAGACAACTGGCTCCGTGCCCTGAGGACATCCTCAACAAGCAATTACTATCAGGAAAACAGGACAGTGAGGAATCACATGCCAGCTTCCTCTTCCCAACTCCTACTCTGTCTAGCCATTCTCCTCAATGACTTTCACCAGTACTTCTGATCTGAGACTTTATTGCCTCTTCTAAACATAAGAACTATCCTCTTTGTACAGAAACATAGGTATTTTTTAAAAAATCATATCATTGTGTGTTATATAGAAAATGGGTTTCAATTTGGCAATATTTATCTGGGTTTTTTTGTCTTTTTGAGGGAGGGTCTTGTTATGAAATTCATGCTGGCCTTGAACTCACTTTGTAGCCCAGGATGGTCTTGAACTCACAATGATCCTCCTGTCTTAATATCCTGAGTTCTGGGATTACAGATAAATGCCACCACAGCCATTTTTTCCTAGCCAATTTCTTTCTGTTTTTAAATCAATTTTATTTAGAAACAAATAGCAATGAGACAGTTTCAAAACAAGTTAGTAGGACAGTTACAATAATTAATATACTACATATTGTTGTCTTAATAAGAGTTATTCATGGCATAAGATGCAGACATTATATCCTCTCCAAACACTATTAGTACAAATCTTTCTTTCATATAACACACTATAATTATTTCTACTTCTTCTATTACCTCTTTTATCAGCTGTTTTACAGATAATTTTACCACTTATTAGTTTTATGATCTTTGTTAGATTAAATCACCTTGAATTGTTTCAATGTTATCACCTATAAAATAAGAGTATTAGATGATATAGTTTCTTCTCACTTTGATTCTATTATTAAAAGTCTGAAAATTTATTCAATGCCATCAAAACTTTCTAATTAAAACAGTAAAATCACTAGATATAAAGTGACTTATTTCCAAAGTCACATAGAAAATTAACAATAGGGCTCATCATATACATATCTCTAGTTTCTGGATTATTGCTTCAAGTATTTCTCCAGAATTCTATGTAAAACAAACTTAGCCAGCAAGTTTCCATAGCAGGGATTTTGAGAATTTGGGGAGAATTTGATGAAAATCCACTTCTAGGTGATTTGATTTCTTATCCCAGGAAACATAGATTTATTTAAGAAATTCTGCTATTTCCTAGATCTGCATTTTAAAAATATTTTGAAAACTTATCTGGTTGTTGGTTAATCTGAGTTAAATAGGTAAGACATGATAATGTAAAGAGAGCAGAAAAAGTTAATCTCTACTCTGTAGTACTAAGGATGGCTCCATGAGGCTAAAATAAAGTAAAAGGTTAGAGGTTAGATAGTTATCCTGAGATGACTTTGAAATCTACATAGACAGAGAGTGTGGAACAGGTTTTCAAAAGAGGGGAGGTTTTATTGTTTCACTTTCTTTAAAAAGGGTTTTTGTTTTGTAACACTTAAGAAATATGTGTGTGCACCCCCACCCCCAGGAAAGTTAGAGCAACTGATCACCAGGGATTGGTTCTCCTGCAAATCACAGGGGCTATGGAATGCTGCCTACAAAATAAATTGTAGACTAAACTGTTGAAGTTAGAAAATACATACATACATTTATTTATTTATTTATTTATTTATTTATTTATGTGTATTTTAGGGAGGGGTCTACAGGGTGTTCAGAGTATCACTACTAGATCCAACTCATAGTGATCTGCCTGTTTATAGCCTCCCAAGAGCTGGGATTGCAGACATGGCCACCATGCTCAGTCTCAGTTGTCATCTCAGCATGCCCTGGGGGCGGGGCCAGTACAGCAGGGATTGAACCTTTGTCCCTTGAGTCTGCTTGCAGGCACTTTAATCTGTGAACTATTTGGCTGGCCCCTAAAAAACACCTTAATACCTAATATTCTGAAATCTTTATTGTATAAATGAGTAAACTTGTAACAAAATAAGTGAACAAACAGTCTTTCTCTAGATCAAATTTCAATTGTTTGGAAACCAAGAATAAAAGCCAAATCTCCTCTCTCCCTGTCCTAGGGCACTTTGCATTGCATTGGGGATTTTCAAAGAGTACACTGGATCCATAGTGATGTTTGTAAATAATTCTATTATATTACAATGTTGATCTGGTCCTAAGAAATGACAAAAAATTAGCTAGTCAGAGATCTTAATTTTAATTCTTCCCATAGCATTTATTCTTGCAGACAAATGAGTATATGGTTTAAGAATCACTAATAGTTTGTCTTGTTCCAAAGTGAGGAAACACAGCTCAAATCATTGAGAGTTTGAACACTGGATGATAAAATAGAAAAGCAAAACCCATACCTGACCTTCCTCTGTTTCTTGAAGAACTTATTCATGAACCATATCCTCCTCTTCAAAAGCAAGCAACATTCCCACCAAAAGTGCTATACTATATTTTCACCAAATTATGTATAGCTGACCTCACTAGTATAGAAGGAGTTCCTCTATATCTATTTTAACATACAGGCCTACCACTAGAATTGTATTCATAGGAAGGTCAGAATCTTACTACAGTACCTCTCCTGTTTCATAAAGGACCCGAATGGATGTACTGTGGCTAAGGAATTGTTATTGCTTATCTCTGAGGTTCTAATATTTGCTTCTCTAGAACATTTCATCCTGTAGGCTTTGTTCCTGTTACACAGCAAACTTAAGCCTCAGAAGTTTTCATTTGCATTTGCAAATACAGTTCATTCAAAAAGAAAGAAAAAGAAGAAAGCAAGAAGGGAAAAAGATAACTTACGTGTATGTAAGGGATGGCTTGGATAAACGTTCTGCTGATTTCTCCTGCTCTTTTGAAAGGAGCAGTTAATGCATAATATTTTTCCTCCCTTGTAATTTTTTATAACTTTTTGATCAATTTTGCATGCTTATGTATGTTAATCTAAACAACTAATTTGAAGACATTAGGCAATATAACAACCATTGTTGAATTCTGATTATCTTGTTTAGTGAAATTCTGTACTATTTCTAATTTTTAAGACTATTTTTATTCTCTTTAAAAATAATAAAAAAGAAAAAGCCTTCCACTTGCTTTCCTTGGTGGTATAATTTATCAACAGCTACAACTTAAGCACTGTCACTCCAGTCTGCCTCTGTTTAGCTAGAGCATTTAGCCCTGTGTGTCATTTGAAAGCTATACTTTTAAATAGAATAGCTCTTACCTTGATGAGGAGATCTCTGATGTAACAACCTCACCTGCTCTATTTGGCTGATTAATTAGCTACCTCGACACTCTCCTTGCAGGGGCTAACAGTACCCCTGTCATCACCTCACATCACCCACAGTTCCAAGCTCTTCCTACTAAACACACCTTCTGTTTTTCCTCCAGGACCAAGTGGACACCCTCACAGAGATGGTTGAGCATTTTGAAGAAATAAGCCACCCTGATTCTAGGGAGATGAGGGCAAGGCAGGAGTCCTTGGCATCCAGGTTTGAAGCTCTAAAAGAACCACTGGCTTCGCGGAAGAAGAAGCTCATTGATCTCCTCCATCTGCAGCAGATCTGCAGAGACTCGGAAGATGAGGAGGCCTGGATCCAAGAGACTGAGCCCTCAGCAGCCTCCACCCACCTTGGTTAGTATACTCTGAGCAGGCAGAGCCATGGGAGATCAATGTCTGCAGCGAAATAGAGAAATGTGGGCTTGAGCAGTAAAGGGTGTCAGAAGTTTGCTCTCAGCTCTTACCTTTCAGTGTCATGAAGATTTGTTCAGATCTCCGTAAGCTTCATATAGCTTTAATCATGCCAACAAATTCACCTCTTAAAACTCATCTGAACAAAGGTATGCATTTGATCTCTTGGAATATCTAGCTTTTTCTGCTTTTCCTGAAACCGAAGTTATTGTGAAAGTTCTTAACTGAGCAGTCACATTTCATCCTCATGCTAAGTGTTTTCATCTAAGTTGTTCATGGCCTCTTTTATAGTTGTATGAGTCATCACAAGGAGGAAGTGGTGGATACCTTATGATTGTGTTACGCTTTGGAAACTACTAGTTTACAAGTGTCGACACCAGGACATTTATATTGAAGTACCTGGTAAAAAGTGCAGATAAAGATGGTGCAATGTTGTACCCATGTATTGGGGACATATGTGTGGGACTAGAGAATTAAGAAAAAAAGTTTGTCTACAGAAATTTTTCAAAAAAGCCTATAGCTTATTGGAAAAACACAGTTTCTTGAGAAATATTTTGAAAGGGAACTATAAGAAAGAGAGTTTGGGTGGAACAGAGGAAAAGAATGGTTTGGAGATAGGGAAAGTAAAGCAGGGAGCAAGGATTCGGGATTAGAGAAGGTTGAGGAAATTCACAACAGTAACATTCATTGATCAACATTATCATTTGGCCACAGATGGAATACTTCTCATAAGATGTTCCTGTCCCTTAACATAATCCCAAAACTTGACATTCTTTATCTCTAGGGAAGGACTTGGTTATAGCCAAGAAGCTTCTGAACAGGCACCAAGTGATCCTGGCAGACATTGCTAGCCATGAGCCACGCATCCAAGTGATAACAGAAAGGGGAAACACGATGGTAGAGGAAGGTATGTAATGTATGATTCATGTCAACTTGCCCAAACATCACTACCCAAGAACTCTCTACAGTCTTAGGATTGAAGAGATTTAAAAGTAACAGATCCATGTGTTTATAGCTGAGTAATACTCCATTGTGTAAAAATACCACACCTTTTTCAACCACTCCTCGGGTGATGGGCATCTTGGTTCTTTCCAAGATTTGGCTATCACAAACTGTGCTGCTATAGACATAGGCACACATATATCACTATGATATGATGATTTCAGATCCTGTGGGAAAATTCCCAGTAGAGGAATAGCTGGTTTAAAGGGGGTTTTCAGTCCTAGTTTTCTAAGGAGTCTCCATACTGATTTCCATAACAGTTGCACCAGTCTACACTCCCACCAGCAGTGAGAAGGGTTCCTTTTTCCCCACAGCCTCTCCAACATCTGTTGTTGGGTGATTTCTTTATGATAGCCATTCTTTCTGGGGTGAGATGATATCTCAATGTTGTTTTAATTTGCATTTTGCGGATGGCTAGGGATGTGGAGCATTTTTTCATATATTTATTCACTTGTTTAATTTCTTTCTCTGAGAAGTATGTGTTCATCTCGATGCCCATTTCTGGATTGGGTCTTTAAATTTTGAGTCTCTAGTGTTTTTTAGTTCTTTATAAATTCTAGAGAGCAGACCTTTGTCTGAGTACTTATTTGTTATGATTTTTTCCAAATTTTTGGGTTCCCTTTTCACTTTGTTGGTAATTTCTTTTGATGTAAAAAAACTCAGTAAGAGCAGGTCCCAGTTGTTAATTCTTTCACCTGTTTCCCGTGCGATTTGATTTCTGTCCATGAACTCTTTGCCTACCTCTATGTCTTCAAGAGTGAGGCCTGATATTTTTTAATTCTTTATAAATTCTAGATAGAAGTCCCTAGAATGAAAGATAGTTGGCTAAAATTTTTCCACAAAATGAAAAAAAAAATAACAGATCCATTTCCCACATAATGCTGAAATTCCTTTTGAGTACTTTTAACAGGAATATATACAGTTTTGTTTGTGTATTCTGTTAACAGGACCCTCACAATGTTATAGGTCAGTCCTCTTTATTTTTCATAAATTTAAAATAATTAGAATGGTTTTACCCTAATCATGAATACACATTTGTGTAAAAGTTAAGGAATTTAAAATCAAAGTTCTAGAGTTTTCTATAGCAAGTCAAGTGCCTTTCATGGAGGAGCTCTCAGTTCTATGAAGACTCATGTTCCCAATGTCTAGTTATCTTACTGGTAAAACAGTGTGGTTTCTTTGTATTTCTCATTTTATATAATTTCAGTGACTCTTATCATACTGTTCTTTCATATTTGGAAAACTCTACCGCTTATATAAGTTGTTCAAGGTCATCAGAGTCCAGTTGTTCAAGTGCATTGGAGATTGTGTTGAGCATTTCCCCTGGTGAAGGAAAAAAACAGTGTCTTCCAGGCATTATCCTGGTTTCAAAAGCATAAAAATTCAGTTTGAGGAGGCTGCACATGATAATGCCAGCACTCTGTCAGGTGGATGTGGGAGCATTACAAATTCAACCACTGCCTGGGTTGCTAAACCAGATGAAACTTCAAAATAAAATAAATTATATTAAGGGGCTAAGAATGTGGTTTGGTGCAGAGGCCCTGGGTTCTGTCCCCAGTACTGAGGAAAAAATTCATTTTAATGGGAAAAATTTCAGATGCCATCTGAAATTCAAACCAATATTCTTCTTATTCCTATATTACTATAGAAACTCATCTTTTGTTTCTTTATATCTTTGATTAGAGGGGTGGATTTTGCCCATTTTTGTTTTAGTTTTGTTTTTAATTTATTTATCTTGAAGTTCCATTAGAATTGTTATGTCTTTTCTTTCCTTTTTTTGTTATGTATTTTCGATGAATTCAAAATATTCCTGAAGGTGTAAACTTTTCTTCTTTATCTCTGGTCATACTTCTGCTCTGAAACATACTTTGTTGACCTCTGATACAGACATTTGAACTTTTTCTTCATTGTGTTTTTGGTGTCCTTTCAGTGATACCTCAGTGTGTGTACTTGATTCATAACAGAATTCCAGGGAAGATGGCATTGGTCATGTTTTTCGCTGATGCAGAGTTCATGAGCAATAGTGAAATTCTGCCAAATACTGTGTGGAAATTGAATTATTTTCAAACTGAGTCATTTCTGCACTGAGGTATCACTGTATTACTCCATCAAGTTGTCTTTAAAAAATTATCTGGAGCATGCTTTTTGTGTCTTCTTTGCATCTGTACTTAGAATGAATCTTTTTGACCTTCATGTCGATCTGTTAGGTACAGCTCCACTTAAGGTAAGAAGGTATTAGCTCTAGTGGAGTGATTTTCCAGTTGCAGCTTGGGTTCCCGAAGACACTTTCAGAGAATGCACAATATACAAACAAATAACTTTGCAATAATGTGAAGGCACAGTTCTCTTCATATTATAGTAACACACACTGGTTTCCAGAGCATAAAAGATACTTGGTGATGTCATTTTCCAATTGTCTGGTGGAGTATGTATTGGTGTATTATATATTGTCAGACTTCTCATTTTGTTTTCTTAATTGGAGAGCTTTCAGTAAATCAAATGAGGAAATCAAAAGCTTTGTAGAAGTTCTCAATAAATTTTAGTTTCACAGGGATTCTGAGGGCAAAAAATGGAGAGCTATTGCTCTAGGACTTAAAAATAGGGATCTTTAATTTATGCCAAATTAATTTAAAATAATCATATCATTTGATGATTCATAAATATGTGTTCCTATTTTTCCCCTTTTATCCTATGGTAAATTTCTATTGTTATCATGCAAAAATCTATCTATCTCTCTATCCATCTATCTAGATATAAATATAGATAGATATAGATTCCTGCAATGATTTTTCACTATTTTTTATTTTATTCAGTTGGCCTTGAAAAGGCTTAATAAATGAGGAAATTGCCCATATATTTGTCACATCCAGTGCTCTCAATTGTTTTGCACAGATCAATATCTTCATCTGTCTCATTTTCCTTTCATTTGATAAACTCCCTCTAATATTCCTTGTAGTTCAGATAAGAAAATAATACGTTCTTTAATATTTTGTTGATCTAAAAGTCTATTATGCCTCCACTTTGAAATGTATTTTTGCCACATATGACACTGTTGGTTCACAGTTTCTTTCAGTATTTTAAAATTGCTGCTATATTGTCTTAAACTTTCTAATGAGTCTACTCTAATTATTATTGTTGTTCCTTTATATGTGAGGCTTCTTTTCCCCTGATTCTTAAGGTTTTCGCTTTATCACTTCCATGCATCACCTTTATTATAATATATTATGTATATATATATAATATATATATTATAATATTTCTTTGGCTTGATAATCATTGAGCTTCTTGAATCTTCTCAGTTATGGTTCTTCCAGGGCAAAGCTTGTCTCAGGACTGATTTAGAGATAGTCAAATACTGAGATACTGCCTTTCTAAAATCTCTTTTTGGTATATCACTATATCCCTCCACCCTATTTTGTGGTTATTTTAATTATTTATAGCTTAAGAGGAGTCCTAGGAATCCTCTGGCCACTGTCTTCAGAGTTTGCTCATCCTCTAAGCATTTCCTTGTTTATGAGTGGACATGAGTAACAAGTCAGATGCCTCAGCAGGCCTCCGTGTGTTCTTCTGAGGTTCCATCACTGTGGTATCCTTCACTTGAGGACTTTGCCTCCCAAATTCTAGTTTTCTTGGCTTCCTCAGACTCTGATCTTTGTCTCCTCAACTCATTGTTTAAATTGTGAAAATTGCAGTTTTTGTTTGTCTGTTTTGTTTTCATTAGCACTTCTAGGACAGCAGTCAAAAATTATCCAGGGCATACCCTATAACCATTATAGTACATATTTTATTTCTTTCCTTTCTTCTACACTTGTAAAATCCATCATATCTTATAGTGTGTCTCTTATCTAGTTGTTTAGAATGGAAGAACAATTCCTGTAATAAATCTCCAAAGGGAGAAATCTATTGATTTTACTGTTTTGTATAGAAGTTACATGCTTTTCATACTCGGGCATAAATCACACTAGTCTTTCATCTTCTGGTCCGTATCGCTTAGACTACAGCAACCTCCTCACCATCACATATGCCTATCTATCTCCCCTTAACACCTACTGTTTTTTTTCCTCAGGTAGAACATTCTAATTCCCAGGAAAGTTAAAGAAATATTCAAAAAGGAAGAGGAATGAGGGAATGAGGAGAGGGAAAGGAAGGATGGTAGAAGCAAAAAAAAAAAAAAATGGCAAAACATAGAAGCAAAGCTTTTGTAAATGAAGAGGGGAAAAAGAGTTCAATGGAGGCTAGAGGACTAGGAACATAGAAAAGAATACTGTTATATCATGTACAGGTTCCCATCCCTATAATGAATGTGGTCATTATGTATATCAAAAACGTACCAATGAAAATCATTTTCTTTGTGAGACCAAAAAAAAAAAATTGTGACTTTAGCTAAATGTAGCACCATCCCTCTGACTCCCTTTTCTTTACCCCAATTACAAAAGGAATTAGAGCCTGCAGGGCATTCATGAGGGTCATATTCAACTCATTGCCTGTCAGTAAAGGACTCTTTGGCTTAATTTGGATAGAAGTCACAAATTGGAAAAGTGTAGCTGTGCTAGTAGCTTGGAGTCCTGAGTGGCAATGGTTCTCAGCCCTCTGGGGCTACAATGCCTATAAGTCTTGACCTTTAGTGTTACAGCTCTGAGCCCTCAGCCACCCCTGTCAGCTCCAGAGTAGCTGAAGCTAACCCTACGCTGTGATCCACAACACTTTTTAGCAGCTTCCATTGGTTCCACTCACGTCTTTGCCAATTGCTGTGATCAACATTAGTTGTGCAAGCCCATGGAAATGGCTGGTACCTGCTGTTTATCTGCATTGATATTTGTTGGAGGCTGCTAGTTTTTGCTATCTGTTCCTAGAACTCTTTAGGACTAGAAGTCCAGTATTTTTAAAGCAACTGTTCTGCCCATAGTACCTAGGGTAAGAATTTTGAGTAGATTTAAAGGGCTTTTAAGTGATGAATTATATAAAGGCTTACAGAACCATTGTTGAAAGAATTTACATGAACAAGGCCTGTGCTAGAGCATAGGGGTTCAATGCATGAGAGAAAGCCATCATAGCCTAACCTGAGAAAAGTGACAGGAGTGCTGCATATATAGTGCTGCTTATATAGAGCAGTAGAAGAAGCAGAATTATCTGCTGCAACCAGAGCAGATAACTCCTGAAGTGGGTGTAGGGCATACAGAGAGCTACAACTGTCCTGGCTGCAGGTTAGGGTCTAACAGGATAAACAGAAGTTTAACAGCTGTCCTGTCTCTGTAAAATGGAATAGCTAAAAGCAGACTACTTCCATTTTTAGGAAGTCTCCAGAAGGGTTACTATGTCAGTTAGAGCCTATTGGAGCTTGGGGATTAGAGGTTTACTACCATGAGCCCATATCCTTCCCTGATCTCTTTCCTAGCTACTTCTTATATGGGTGGCATCAGTATCAGAAATGGCAGGAACTGGAAAATGACACCAGTTCACATTTTTCAGAGCAGCTGAGAAGTAACCTTAGGGGTGGCAGAAGGCCACTGGGGCAAGTTGACCCAGTCTATCCTAGGGAGACTTGGGGGTGTAAAGGGATGTGAAGGGTAGGATGATAGCTGTTAGTAGAACCACACCTCTTTTAACTATTCTGGAAAGAGAAAAGGTCAAGTTGGTCAAATTATTTCAATAAAACTCACTGTTTTTCAACTACTGTGTAGGACACTTTGCTGCAGAAGATATAGCTTCAAGGGTTCAGAGTCTGAACAAGAACATGGAATCTCTCTGTGCTCGAGCTAACAGGCGGCAGGATGCTCTTGAGGCGAATGTCGCTTTCCAGCAGTACCTGGCTGACCTGCACGAAGCAGAAGCGTGGATTAGAGAGAAGGAGCCGATTGTGGACAACACTAACTATGGGGCTGATGAAGAAGCAGCTGGGGTGAGCTGGGGCAGGATGGAATTTTCCAGGGAATAATCACCAAATGCTGCTAAATCAATTGAAAGTTTGTGTGGATTGTGAGACAGCTACACATTCTGCTAAATTATTTACGGATTACTGAGTGATCATCTCTGGTGTTCATCTTCTGGAATACCCTCAGAATTAACAGGGAGTCCAAAGATGTACTACACTTGTGCAATCCACAAAAATCCTTTGTTTTTCTAGTATCTAAGCCCCAAGGTATAAGCAAAAATCTGTGCATATCTTTGTCCCATTCTGAACTTTTTAGGATTTCCTAGAACTTTCATAAACCATCGTTTTTATTTTAAAAATGGTTTTAGTATATAAGCATTTTAATTTTTAATTGAAATATCAGATATATTTTCTGTCAAAAAGCACATCACATATCATAGTTATATTTTATATCACTTTTATATCTATTTCTTATTTTATTTCTTTATTCTTTTCACTGTCCTATAGATACTCTGTATAGTATTTCAGAAGCCTTAGGTATTAGAAGCAATATCATTTTGCATTTAAAATTATGTTAATATTTATTCTACAAAGTAACATTATCGATAGTACCCTCTTTTAGGTATGATGTGTATTTGATAGAAATATGTACCAATGCGAGCTAATCTAGTCTTTAACAGATAGGTTGAAATGTTGAATTTTTATTCACTACATCTTTGAGAAACTTGCAAACATAGCATTGAAAAAAAGCCTCTGTAATAGAAGAAAAGAAGCTTTTACCAGGATTTAAGACAATAAGCATAATTCTAACTATTAGTTGAAGCTTCCCCCCTGGCATGCCTGTTGTTCCTGCTGCATTTGTTCTGATGCTCTTCTCCATAAACCCAGGCTCTTCTCAAGAAGCATGAGGCCTTCCTGGCAGATCTCGATGTGTTTGGACACAGTATGAAAGCACTACAGGAGCAAGCAGAAGCCTGCCGGGTAAGATGGATGGAGCAATGACAAGAATCCCATTGCTTGCCACAGAAGCAAAGGAATTTTCTTTATTATCAACTGTTATTTTCAGAAATACTGAGAAAATACTGAATTTTATAATCTTGTAATTAGGAACTGTAACATCTTTATCCCACCAAAAGAGATTTAATTAAAGAGAAACAGTCAATGAAAATTATCCCATGTTCATTGATATCTGCTTTGGATTTTCTCTTTCTTCTAAAATAACTATCTTTCCTCCTTCCATCCCTCCTTCAATCTTTCCTTCTGTCCCCTTTCTTTTCTTTTCTTTTTTTTTTGCTTGAATCCAATCTTTTTAATTTCCTTCCTTCATTCTTCATTCTTTTTATACTAATGCTTATGAATTGTCTACAACCATAAATAAAAACAATTCTAACTTTCATCAAAACTATGCCTAATTCTGGTACCAGAAAATCAAACAAATGCATATAATCCCTGTAAAAGCAATAACTAAAAAGAATTCCAAAGAAAGGAACCTTCTGCTTCCCTGAAGTAAGAATACTAGAGGACAAAATATTCCATAGTTAACAGAAACCATACTATATGAGTTCATTTTATTTAAATGTACCTTTCTTTGTGGATACAAAGCAAGAGTTTCTCTATTTCCTAGAGCATGTGAATAAATGCACTGAAGCACAGAACAATCAAGTGTATCAGGGAAATTAGAAAGGAAGTTGGATGACAATGTGGGAGTATTGAGGCCATAAGGGAGCATTATGAAGAGTAATGAAACTTGAATCAAAAGAATCATATAAGTTGCTTCCTGTATGGGAAGGAAGAAGATAACAGACAGCTGCATTCTCCCATTCAAGGATTCTTTCTAAGGAGAAGCACAGAATTCATACACACATGAACTAAAGGAGAAGCATAGACTCAGTGAGTCGAGTCAACAAACATTGATAGTGCTCCTGGCTGCAGTAGTGCCAGGCTATAAGCAGAGCATAGGTAGGAAAGCAGACAGACCCTTGTGTTGTGCATCATAAGGAAAGCAGGGACTGAAGGACACTAAGGATGCATAAGGTGAGGTTGAGCTCCAGTGCCAATCTGAGAAACTGGGCAGGCAATTGCTTATAGAAAAAGAGTTATGTTTTGTTTCTTCTCTCAGAGACAATATTTGTAGAAGGTAAAACTTAGAGAAAACTCTCCTTTGGACAGCAAGTTGTTTATTGAAAGTGATAAAGAAGATGCTAATATAGTTCATGATCTCAATTTTTAAGTTTTGGGGACTTAACCTTGCTATAGACCACCCATCCCTGAAGTACTATATGAGGTCCATAGTAATTTAACATTGAAAACAGCAGTTATGGCTTAGACTGTGGTTTGTTGTTTAATTTTTTGATCAATTTTGCATGCTTGAATTTGAATAATATGAACAACTAAATTGAAGATAATGATATGTAATATAACAACAATTGAATTCCTTTCGTTTTGTGTAGTAAAATTCTTCATCAATTTTATTGTTTTTTTGTTTTTTGACTATTTAATATTCTCTTTAAACAATAAACTGTCTTGCTTTTCTTGGCTATATAGGTTATTACTTCTTTACTATTCTCTTTAAACAAACAAACAAAAAATGAAAATAAAACAAAACAACAACAGTCAGGAAGGAAGAATTGTTAGTAGAGGCCCAGGGCAATGGGAAGCTGTGGATCATTGTGAATCTGTAACTGTAACAGTTTTCTGAAATTCTGATATAAATAACCTGTATGGACATTCTTAGAGAAACGCATTACCCCTTCCACATCAAAAACAGTGGCTTAGAACATCTAATGTTTCTGATAAACTGCGCATTTGCTTGGTCACTATGTGTTCATATTTCCCCACCTGCCAGTACTCTGGTACATGGTGCAGTACATCTGTTTCTCTGATGACTACCTATTGTCAGTTACCTCTTTTTATTTTTGGCCTTTAAATATTTATTGATTTGCCCCTTTGTGGTACACAATGATTGCATATATCATGGAGAGTTGGTACAAATACATGACACATTTTAATTATTTATTTTGCTTAGGCCTCTCCTTACTCCCCGATCTTTCCAACTCTGGTCCCCCCTCTCATTTGGAAAAGATCTATTTTCATTTTTTTCTTCCATCTTTTCTTTTCTCTCCCATTTCCTTCCCCTGGCTGCACCCTCCCTCTCTCTATGTTCCCTTTCCCATTCTAAACAGACCACACTTCTCATGATCAATCTTGTATTTCAATTTTCACTTATATTTGGGGTTATGTGTATAAGAGAAATCATGAGATACTTAAGCTTGTGTATCTGAATTTTTGTCCCATATGCAGTACTGGTAGAGGTGCCAGGCAGGGGCCTCTCCCTCTCCAGAGGCCCTGAGGACTGCCCACCACAGGAAGAGTGCTTGGGGAGATGTTCCAATGGGTGATTTATACCTGTTTCCTGTTTCCTTTTGTTTTTCAGCAACAACAGGCTGTACCCATGGGTGATGCTGCTCAAGAAGTGAGAATTCTGGCTTTATTTGACTTCCAGGCCAGGAGTCCAAGAGAAGTCACCATGAAGAAGAATGACGTCTTAACTCTGCTCAGTTCCATAAACAAGGTGACTTCTTTATCTTTCCTTTCTTCTGTGCACTGGCTCCTCAACAGGTGTCTCTCCTAACCTGTCAGGTATTCATACCTTGTCTGTGAAACATTTTTCATCTCTTTATCTCTTAATGAATTACAATTTATTGAGTAGTACATTAGTAGTATTTTCTCCAGATATTATACATGATCTTATACATACTTTTTGGAGTTATAATCCTAGTTTTATGGTTAAAGAAAAGAAAAATCCAAGAAATAAGCTATGATTGTTCCTTTCTTCATGTTTCTACTTGCTTCTGCTCTATGTCACTCTTCTCAGTGAGGGAACAGCAATGTCCAAGGTAGACAGCCAGATAAGAGGAACTTTGATCTTCTTGACTTTCTTTAGATTTTCCACGAATTAGATAATCTGCTTTCATTTCAGGACTGGTGGAAGGTTGAAGCCGATGATCATCAGGGCTTTGTCCCCTCAAACCATGTCAGGAAACTGGCTCCAGATGAGCTCCCGATGCTCCCACAGAGGCGACGAGAAGAGCCACGCAACATTGCCCAGCGCCAGGAGCAGATCGAGCAGCTGTAAGCTCTAGAGGCTGCAGGACCGGGCAGTGTTTCACCAAATACTTCCTGTTCATTGAGATTTCTATTCATGATGCTGTCTGTTTCACTAGGGGTGAAAATTCACAGGTTTTAAGGACTAGAGGTAAACTTGAGATCCTTAAGTCATTTAGGTTTTATGTAAAGAATTGGAACCTGAGAACGATAAGGCTAGTTGTCTGAGATACTGTCTTTTTGATGTCCTGCCTAACATCCCTTCAAGGGTATCAGAACATCTTCTGCCACCCCTGTGAACTTTCTTCTCTCTGTTTCAATTCAGTTATCAGTTTGCAGAAAAACTTTACAGAATGGGAAAGGATGTTGTTATTCATATTATTAAGACAAGGGAAAATTTATTATTTTTAAGTGTAATATGGTGTTTCTCTGCTTCTAATGCCTTTTTACTTCCGTCTTTGTTTTCTCTCTCTCTCTCTCTCTCTCTCTCTCTCTCTCTCTCTCTCTCTCTCTCTCTCATCATAGGAATTGAACTTGGGACATTGTGCTTGCCAGGCAGGCGCTTAATGGCTGAGCTATCTTCTTTATTTCTCCTTTAACTTTGTTTCCCTTTACCTTCCACCATTCACTTTGCTCATTTTGCGTGTGCTCCTTATTTTTTCCTTTGGGTAGCCATTGCTTCCCACTCTCTTCCTTTCCTGCCCAGATACCGCTCCCTCCTTGATCGGGCTGAAGAACGCAGACGTGGGCTGCTGCAACGTTACAATGAGTTTCGACTGGCTTATGAGGCGGGAGATATGCTCGAGTGGATCCAAGAGAAAAAGGCAGAAAACATGGATGTTCAACTAGATGATGTTTGGGAGCTACAGAAAAAATGTGATGAGTTTCAAAAGGTGAGAAAGGGGCAAAGAGACCCTGTGCTGAGAGTTGAGAACCTGTGTTGAGGGTTGTTGCTATTTCCTTTTATTCCAAGTCTCCTCCAGTGTGATTTTTTACAGTTTTTTATTTTTTAGTTGCTATGTTTTGGAGCAGCAGAGAAGCAGAAATACAAGGAGGGGCTTTATTTCTGAAGACATGGATGGAAAGGATCAAGGGTAGGGAGATGGTGGATCTTCTGACCTGAGACCAGAGGACTAAGACTTTATGGATTATTTCTAGGGGTGGCGTTTGTTAGCCAGGTTCAGTGCACAAAGAGCTGATTGCAGACTCCATTTTGTGTGTGAGAAAGGTAAAAGGAAGTTGTATAAAGGCCAGAGTGTTGAAGAAGGAGGAAGTGGCCATTGGGAAGTTAAGCTCTTGTTTTGGGGATTCAGTCATGTTGAATCAGGGCCATAATAATTTAGCAATTTGTACTCAGGCTGAACCTATCAACTTTGCACTCATTAATTATCTTTCCCAAAGCTTTTCCAGATCTTTCTCTGGATGCTGCTGCTGGTAATAGCTAGGGGACAAACGCAGAGGAAAGCAGTACCCTATCTTGTCAGCCTACCCTTCTTGCCACTCCAAGATCCTGAACTACCCAGAGGCTCCAAAGCTTTCCCTGTAGTATAATCTATACCTGATGTCCAGGTTGGGATGGGAAATTAGGAGAATTTGATTTAGAGTTCAGAATAGAGGTTGTGGTGGAGAGAATCTCTACTTAAAAGCCAATGTCTGTTTCTTTTTCTATCCCTTTTTTTCATGTATTTAGTACAAGGCTACAGGGTCTCATTACACAGATAAGATTTGTAGTGACCCTCTTGTTTTCAGCTACCCAAGCACTGGAATTACAGGCCTGCACCACCATGCCCAGTCTTAATTGCTATTGCAGCATGCCCCAGGGGCAGGGCTGGCCCTACAACCACAATGTCTGTTTCTTTACTTAAAAAACTTTCATCGTCCTTTCTACTTTGACAGTCATTTCATTATCTGAATTAGTACAGGGTGAATTTCTTTTTACTCTTATTGTACTATTTGGAATTATATTTATGAATTTATATGTAAAATTTCATATAAATATTATACATACAATTATATATGTATAAAGTCTCATATTGTTATGTAAGATCTCTTGATATATGGAGTTATACCTCTCTCACTCTCTCAGAGATGGAGGGAGTTTTCTTCCAACATTTCATAATATAGAAAAATTGTAATTCAGTCAATTAAATGCTGTGAGGTAAGAGAAATTTGTAACTATATAAAATAGTATCAGAAAGTTCATGTATAGATTCCTCTGATAGTATAAATGAGTTCAGGGAAAGATGTTAGGAAATCTAAGAGCATGGATGTGCTACATACTCCAGATAAATAATAGTTGTCTTAGAAAACTTTATTGAAGTTAAACTTACTCTTTCAGTGGTAAATATGAAAGCTGCAATATATGCTGCAAATGAAGTTAACAATATGTTTTAATAGTACTTAGCCAAATGAGAACCAAGGTGTACAGGTAAATATGGAAGATTTTTGAGAACAGGATTTACAGTACCTTGAACAAAATTTTTCACCTAGGATTTGGAGACCAATAAGCCTCGACTGAATGAAATTAACAAGGTAGCTGATGAGCTGCTATTTGAAAAGCTTCTAACTCCAGAAGGTGCTCACATCCGGCAGGTAACTGAGGGTCCTGATATTTTTCCTCAATACCTTTTGGGCTTAGAATTTTTCCTACTACTTTAATAAACTCAGCTTGTATGTCTCATAACACTAAGGGTACACATAACAGAATGGAGCTACGAATGCGATTATAGAAAAGACCAAGGACAATAATCCAAATAGGACAAACAAACATTTTTGTAGTCTAAATAAATGTAATTCAAGTTTAAATTCATTCTGGTTTATTGTTTGAATAAACTAAAAGAAGTTTTTTAAATTAATATTTATTGATTATCCTCTGTGTTCTCACATAGTTATTTTTGTGGAGGGAGGAAGTTTCCCCCAAAGCCAAAACTTGGGAATTATAATTTTGGGTCTCATACCCATGAAATCCTCTCATTACAGCATGTACTCATGTCCTTATCACTGCAGTGTAGACCATGGCTCAACTGCTTTAAAGAACAACAACAACAAAAAAAGGTCAATCAATGAGTTATAGTAGGCATTAGGGAGGTAGCTGAGAGATCTAATCACTGCCTGGTAAGTGCAAGGACCCAGGTTCAATTCCTGGTACCACATGGAGTGCTATCCCTGAACCCTGGGTGTGTCCTGCAGGCTACCAAAACCAACCATAGTGGTGCACACATGTAATCCCAGTACTGGAGAGGCTGAGACAGGAAGATCACTATGAGTCTGAGCTGTGTAGTGAGACCCAATACAAAATGAATAAAATGCTGAAAAATAAATACATAAAATGAAGTTATGACAAAGTGAAGAACTGAATCAAGATAACTAGCTAAAAGGGATAATGAAGAGAATGTAAACAAAGAAATAATGAGAATTGCGGAGATGGAATTCTTTACTTGACTTTTGTCTGGAATTATGATTCCATAAAAAAGTGGACTTTAATAAAAATGGCAGTCTTGTTCTTATTGTCATAAGCCAGTGAGAAAGAATTCCTCCACCCTTTCTGTGGTGATTTTCACTGGATAAAAAGCAAAAGAACATGCATGTAGATAATGTTCTTACTCCCTGTGGAAATGAAGGCTGTAAGAGACCACCACTTCCATGCAATTCAGCATGTGAAAAGTTATGATGTTTTCCCTAGAGGAATGTACCAGCTTCTAACTCTAAAATTCCCATTTATTTTACTTCCAACTTAGAACAACAGTCCAGAAAAAAATAAATCTTTTTCTCTACTACATGAACATAAACATGGACCAAAATAAGTGTGTCCAGAAAAGAAGTAATGTCTTTACAGTGAATGAAAAAAAAAAAAAAAAAAAAAAAAAAAAAAAA